GCGGAAGTTGCTCAAAGTCATTGTTGCGGGCTGCATTGGCACGACGAGCCTTCCTAACGGAACAATGTAAACCCCAGGCCAAGCAAGTCATCTCGTTCATAGATGCACTGCACCCTTTGGCTTTTTGAGGGAGAAGGTTTTGGCGACTGGTGGTACACAAACCCTCACTGCACACTTAAGACCCCCGCCTAGTCTCGCCAGCTGCAGTCCAAATAAAGCCAACCTGACATGTCAACTTCACAGAGGGAGATAGAAGAGACCGGACCTCCGATAAAACGGCCGTGAAGGCAGGAGATGCAGTGGTGCACCTCAAGAGGCTCGGCAGCTCGGCTCAGCTCGACTCTGCAAGAACCAAGTTCACCACCAGCCCGGCTGGACGCGCTGGATGCACTGTGGCCTCGAAAATCACTCTGAACACTGACACAATGCGATACCACGCCAGCAAGACCCGGGCCAGTGCACACGGCCGACGGACTCTTCTGATCCACATAGCCGGTTACCGTGCTCACTTCACCTGCAGATATTGGGCACACTGCAAGTCTATGCCAAACGCGATGAATGACGAAGCACACAGCCAGGCTGCAATGCAACGATAGCCGGAACATAAACACATGCGCGGGACTGCACATGCCGCACCTCCACCGAGGTCGGATGTCAGTTCGAAGACGCACGTCGCACTGTTGTCACAGCACCTTAAGCCACCAACCCTGCTGCGGAACAGCATGACAGCAGTGAAGGAACGAACAATAATCCAGCTTGCTTTGTGTTTGTTCCGGCACGTCATGTGCTCATTCGAGTCCCGTTGCCGTCGTTTGCTGCAACTTGAGGGTTGTGCCAGTGGCTTAGGTCGTCCCTAGTGTCTCGAAATGCTGTTCAACGGTGCTCAAAAAATCACCTTCAAAGCATCATGTCGTCGCCCCTCGCTCGGCTTGCCTGCGTGCATACTTGTCTGGGGCGACTGAGCATTCCAACCGTTTCCCCCGAAGGGTAGGATGAGGAGACACGTGAGGTTGCGACGCAGACTCAATGTCATGCAACATGGTCGGTCAACACCTTGCCAGCATCCTGTGGACACGCACTGTCGGCCCGAATATGAGGATGCAGTGACAAGCAAGATGCCAACCTAGAGTCGCGAAGAACCCTGCTACGAGTCTTACATCAAAATCAGGATGCCCTAGCCTTCGACAAGTTCCGGCTAATCTTCCCGCTGGGCCAGCACAACAATCACCTTGTAACGGGCCTGAGCTAAAGCCGGCAACCTTCGGTGGGGACATCGAATGAACCTATTTCTGAAAGCAGGCGACACTCGTAGACAAATGAGTTCCCGACTCAACCTGGCATGCTTCCAGATACTTCTCACAAGGCGTCTTGCCTCGCAGCCAACTGTTCCCGGAAAACGCACGTTTAGCCCTGTTTTGCGCCTACGAACGTGTGTTGTTCGATAATATTGAGCTTGCTTAGGGTACAGTATGGTCTGAGATTGCAGCATCATTGCGGAGTCATTGCAGACGGCTGCTATGCCAAAGCCAAGTTGCAGGGCTTCAAATACGGTATCTGAGATCCACTTTTGCAGCCGGCCTGGTCAGGGCAAGCAGTCTGCGAACTGGGTCGTCACCGAACGCAGACAATGACCACCATCGCTTGAGTGCATGCGCTCAAGTGGGCCTGGTTTTTGGGAAAATACGTGTAGCAAACCATCTCGTAGATCTTGGACACCTGCGGTTCCAGGCCAGGTTACGTCGTGGCCTGAGTGCCAAGATCACCAAGGCCCAAACACACGGGTCAAGGTCTCGGTCTTCCTGGTGCTTGAAGTCCCAAGCCTGTAAGGGGTGCTCTTTCCATCTCTTCAGAGCGCTCTTGGAAACTGCTCGAGCTGCCTCATAACCAAGGGCACCGAGATGATAAACAAACATAGTCGATGCCTGCAACACATGTTTCCGAACCCTCTCCGTGTCTGCAAGCTGCAAGCCGCATCTCTTGCAAGGTTTACTCCTCAGGCTGCAGCAGCGGAATCTTGTGCTTGCACAATTGCATCCAGTGCCTCAGCGCAAACTAACCGGCCGAAGCTGGTCATTCGAATAGAGCTACGGCAGATGCTATCGAGAGTCTAGAAACAGTCCCATAGGAATTAATTGTGGAGAAACTGTATGTCTGTCTGCCTGTCCGTCCGTCGGTCTGTCTGTCTGCCTGTCTGCATGCATGCTTGTATGCAGGTATGCCTGTACATACATACTTGTGTGTATATGATATTCAAGTAAAAAACATAAACACACGAGTGCATGTGTTTTTTGTATATACATACGCATGAGTATATGTTGGGATGATATGGTGCAGCACGTATGGTATTTGTATTGCCTTCGTGGCACCCCGCCCATTTCAGCGCTGCTTCACCGTTTTTGAGCCACCCAACGCTTTCAAGCCAGGCGAAGTGTACAAACTCAGGCAGAGTTCACAACCCTTTGGGTGCTGCCCCACAGAGTCTACAAAAACCACGCGTATTCAAAGTTGTTTCTGCTCAAAATAAGCTCAACATCAATCTTCAGTCTTCAGTACCTACCGCTCTATGGACGCTGATCACACAATTCTTGACTCCAACCTATGTCACAACACTACTGTACCAAGCACAGTTTCTTGCGTGTGTTCCACATCACCGTCTGAAAACTTAGTCTGGAGACAAACCCACGAAGCTTGCGTGCCCAAGTGCTGAAGTCTTGATTACTGATTACTTGCTCCTATCAACCTGACAATCCGGACTTCCTCACTAGTTGAACCCCACGCAACTTTGAAATTTCTCAAATCTTTCTACAACCCCGTCAGAGCCCAAGTTCATGAAAATCCTTGCTATGGAGGCCTAAATACAGTTTGCATAGATCATCGCCAGGTGATTGGTTTCTAAGCACTTGTATACCCCTGCAATCGCGGTTAGAGTTTGTGGAATATCCGTTGCTATGGAGCTCTGCAGACAGACAGACAAACAGACAGACAGACAGACAAACAGACGGACAGATAGACAGACAGACGGACTCATACTACATCACATAGACATGGCATAGCGGAGTAGCCAAACGTATTGTGTGTGCGGACACAAACCTTGTAACAGCCGACAGCGCCACCCAACATTGCTGCTAGCCGACAAGGGTACAACACCCTGTTCACCTCAAGCTCGTCTCCCCATTTTGGCAGACACATGTTCTTGCAAGAATGAAGGAAACAAACCGATCAGGGTCCACTGGGCCCCATCAATTCGGGATGCCACAGCGAACTCGTCTGTCCACAAACATCACAAACATTGCTTTGTTGAGCACGGCAGATCGCCAATGAGGCGCACCCCGATTTTGATAATCTTTTCTCTGGGGCACCGTCACCGGCAGTAGATTTATTGACGTCCATAAACGACGAAGACATCGCTGCCGCGCGGGCTGAAGACTTCGGAGGACCTGCTTTCTTGGCTCCCGGCCGTGCTCGTGTTCTCGGGCGAGGGGACGGCTGGATCGTAGTCCACAGCTGCCTTCCCCAGGGCCCCGCTAAAAGCTTCAAAACAAACGCGGTGTCACGACAGCTCAGGCAAAGGCCCGACAAAAGTGCAAGTATTCCTGGACCACACCAGGCTCAGAACACTGCCACACCTTAATGTCAGCAAGATCGGCAAAGCATTGCAGAAGGCAGATGAAAGACCGAGGAAAACCAGGCGCTGAGTTGCCCACTAGGCCTCCTAGCCGTGGCAAATCATTCAAGCCGGGAGTCAATGGATTCACGCACCTGCAAAAAGAAAAAGAAGACACCCTGGCAATCCAGTTCTTCGTTCAGTTTGTGCCCCACGTGCATGGCTGTGAACAGGTTCAACAGGTGCAAATGTCGAGGGCTTGTGCCGCAGATGCACTGTGCCCCGAATGACCTAGTGCCTAGCGAGCACGAAGCACAGGTACAAATAGCTAAGAGATGCCGAAGCTCTGGCCCGTTGGGATCAGATGAAGCCACTTCCGGCCCTGTCCGTGGTTTGTGGCCTGTTCTTGATGCAGATCGGGTTGTTTGTGTAGATCACCTCACCTCGTCTTCGTCAGGCACGACACGGAGGCAACTATCAAAAATCGACCTCAAAAGTTGCATCTAAACTAATTCGATCAGCTCAGCAGCCATCCCCTCCGGACATGCTTACCTGCGGAGCAGATGTCGCCGCGACTAGCACACAGTCTCAAGAAACCCATCTGCATGCCAGCAGCCTGCGTGCTGCTTGACACGATTGCCAGCGGCAACAGCAACTCCACTCGCACCAAAGTCATGATACCTCAGACCCCAAGGAAGCACACATCTGTTCACCTCAACGCCTCGCTGTCCTGTGCTGAGGTAAACTCTGCTGTGCTCTGCTCTGCTCGCTATCCGACCTACCATTTTCCTTACTTGGCCATGTCCCAGAAACGATACAGGAAAGCTATGGAGATGAGAGAAGCTTGAGAGCTTTACCACCTTCCAGGCTGTGAACATGTCGCTGCTCTGAACAGGAGCTCTGAAGCTCTGAGCCAGGAGGAGACGCACGACCCCTCACTCGTGGAAGCCCTGTTCCACCCTCAGCCCACTGAATCGAGAGCATGATTCTGGAATGCAGCCAAGCGACGTTTCGATTTTTCGGAAAGTCAAAGTTCGTTCACCTCTCAGTCGAAGCAAGCGGGAGAGTCACAGAAACACACTTGGACGCTCCATCAAGTCTATCAGTATCAGCTTCGATAAGTATTCAACTTCACCAAGCGGCTATCTGAAGTGGCGAGAGGCTTGCTGCCTCCATTTATGGAGAGAGGTCTACCCCCATAACGAGCCACCACGGGCTGCCGGACGCGCGCATTGGCCACATCCAGCAAGTTGGAGCAGCAGGACAGAAATCGTCCGATAGCATTGCTAGGAATTCCGATGATCTTACCGGGTGGCGCAGCATAGATTCGTGCTGAAGTACTGGACATCTACTTCTGCACTGATCTTTCGGAACACGGGCACACGGATCCCACGTCCTTTCCAGCCTTGCCTTTGCCTTCAGTGGCTCCCTGTGGGTGAACAGCACTCTGGAGCGATATGTGGTCTGATCCGGACGAACCAAGCAAGCCAAAACTGTTTTACCGCAGGGTACTATCTTACCTAAAGGTCGAATGTGGCAGGTGTTGTAGATCCTGTGCGAAAACCGCCTAAGTTTGGCGAATCCAAGCATTCCAAGGGCGTGCTTACAATTTGCGCCTTCTTCCCCTTGCCAGTCTCGAGGGCCTGTAGACAGCCATGAAGCAAGACATCGTCGTCACAGTGATATGAAACCGCGCCTTTCCACCTTTGCCCTTATCTGTGTCTTTGCCACCTGCCAGGCAGACAAACAAACCTTCCGTCTTGGACACCTGAGGCGGCGTGGCGGCCTTTACCTTTGGAGCCTTTCTCCTCGTAGCCTTTCGAAGCTTTGCCTTTGCCTGAGCTTCAACCGAACTTGCCACCTCCACGAACACTTCACGCTGACGCCGCATGTTGCCTTTGTCTTGGCTTTTGCCATAACCTGCAAAAGCAATCCGATGCACGGATCTGCTCACGTTCCAGTCTTGCAACAGAGCCGAGAAAGACTGCGTGCACAAACTTCTTCGGTTGTCTGCCACTCCTGGCCTTTGTCGTAGCCGTAGCCTTTCTCGTAGCCCTTATCCTCGGCCCGTGTCCACAACAAGATGATGCTCAGAACATTCCGCAGCTGTCGGAGAAGCCATGCATGCCTCCAGCGACTACAGCCCTTGCAAGTCTGAGCCGGCGGCGTAGCTCTTCTCGTAACCCTTTTGGTAGCTGTCCCCCCACCCCTTTCCTGCACAAGCTCGTCTCTACACTGTCACTAAAACATCATCCGAGCACTACGAAGGGACGAAGGGTCACAGCCGGCCTGTGCCGGCACCTTTATCACCTTTGCCCCAGCCCTGCTGCACACTGCCACCGTACCTGCGATCAAAGTGAGCGCAGTCATGGTGCGACAGCGAAGTAGCTGTGACTTCATGACTGCGCACCAGGTGCTATCAGCAGCTGGTCGCGCTTTTCCTCCTTTGGCAGGTGCACCCCAACCTCCTGGCCACAGGAAGAACGCTGTGATTCCGAGCCGTCATCCTTCCCAAGAGCTGCCTCCACTGCTTTCGCCGTATCCGTACGACGAACCTTTGCTGGCTGCCTTGCTAGGCAAGGCACTGGTTGTGCAGAACTCTTTTCCTGGGATTTGAGAGGCCTTGCCCAGCGCTTCCAAGGGTCCAGGGCCACCGGCCGGCTTCTTCATGGACCTGGGAGCTGGAAACCCCGAGGCGATGCAACGACTCGGAGTCACACCCAAGCACACGATACATCGCTGCTACATGCGTAAGCTGTCAGCATGATGGCTGGATCGTTCAAATGGGGCGATGCTCCGCCGGCGCCACCTGACAACCATGACCGAAACTGGATCTGCACATTCGCTCGTCTACTGCAACAAGTACTGGCCAATACTGGCACTTTTCATGTCGCTCATGTCCTCGAAATCCCACGAAGCTCCTTTTTCATCCTGAGACTGAGGCTGCCTTCCAACACGGTCAGGTCCTTGATGTCCTCGTGCAGACTTCAGAGGTAGCCAGAACTCAAGCACCGTTGCTTTCTGTCAGCCAGCCAGCCAGCCAGTCAGTCAGTGTGTGCGTGCGTGTGCGTGTGTGTGTGTCCGTGGCAACAGATGGAAGCCAGATCAAGTGTGGCGAGCTCGAGATACTGGACAGCTCGAAATGGGACAAGTTTGTGCACGCATGAACTGCGAAGTCCTCGTGTAAGCCGATTACAAAAACAATCCTTGCAGTTGCACCATCGCAGTGTGAACTGCACTCGCGAGTCTTGCCCCTTACAGCCCTACGGCCCACAATGATGTATTTTCCTGCTTTTCAACACAAAGAAAATACTCAAAGATGAATCCGAAAAACACAGTCTCCGCGAAATCCACCCGTCCTGTCCGCGGAAGATAATGAAGTCATAGATTTCACTAGAGGGAGGGATCTCCGGCACCTGACACCATCAGTGAGAGATCAATCTGCCGAGCACTCCCTGCTGCTGTCACAAGGGATAGAAAAGAATCACAAGAAGTCACCATGTCCCAATGCACCTTTCTGCCCTCGGTGCCGAAAGACCGCACCGACCTGAAAAATGAAAGGGGACGCTACCACTGAAGCATGAAGCCATGAAGCAAGATGCATTGCCGGGAAATTTCCCAGCTCGCCAATACTTCGACTTGGGAGGTAACTGTAGGGCAATGGTGGACTCCTGCGTGTTGATGGTGTACAGGATGCCCTGTCATGTTGAATGCGTATTGGCTTGGCACCACGAGCATCCCAACGCAGAGCAACAGCCTCGTACCGGATGTTCGAGTTTGAAATCAAACTGATCTTGCTCCCAATGTACCTCATCAAGTTGCGAACACATCATGCATGATCCTGCTGCTTCCAGTGCCAAGCACATGAATGGAGCACGGGATCGTGCTGCCGGCCATGGTGCCGTGAACTGTTGCACTCCTGCCACATGACGAACACTGTCGGTGTGAACATGAATCTCGCCAGGTCCGAACTTGTCGGTCCTGGAGTGGGCGCCTTCGTACCGAGGCTCTGCCCCCCTCCCTCACAGCAGCTGCAGAGCCAAGGCACCAAAAAGCGGCTACTTCGAAGGGGGCGAGAGCTGCGTCTTGAAATTTGATGCAAAAGACATGTATGAGCCTCTTCTCGATCATCTTGAATATGTCGGGAAACAACCACTTTACTTGTCTCGTGCCAACACGCAGCATTGAGCTAGACTAACTAATGTCGAATCAATGGCCTTCGTCAGTGCAGCACAGTCGAGTCTCAATGCAAGTGATGGCAAATGTGACTCAGACTGTATTTTCGGATTGCGTCTAAACGTTGGAAAGCACACCATGTAACGACAATCGCAAAAACCAACATGAACGAATGAGGCATGATGTTCCAGTAGTCCATGGTCCTACGAAAACACATACTGACATTTAGGGCTTCGGGTTTAGAATCTGGGACTTAGTGTTCAGGGTGAGGATTTCGGGACTGGGATTTCCGCCTTGTCCATGCAACACGACCATACAAACTCTCGTGGAGGCACCTTTTCGCCTCCCTGCAGGTTTCTTGCTCGTCACAGCCCGCTGCTAAACCGTCTCACATCACAACACACGACATCTGCAATCTGCTGTCCGTTGCAAGCATTGTGTGGTATCGCATTCACAGCTGCGGGATCCGGGTTACTTAGATCGCTTTTGCTTCGGCGTGTTGGGGCCGAGCCTCCGAGTGGCGGCTGGCGTCCCCAGGTTCTGATCAACGACAATCTTGAACGGACGACTCGTGGAGCATTTCAGGCGCTTTTGGAGGGACGGGCTACCCAGGTAGGTGACCATCACTTTTTTTCAGTATTTTCAAGTCTTTTTCCAGGCCTCTTCGTTTGAAGCCGACACGACGGTTCACTGCCACGTCAGAGTGCCAAGGTTGTCGTCAAGGCTTCGGAAATCGGTGATGCGACAGTCGCAGACTCTCAGGACACTGCAAGCAGAGGTCGCAACAAAGCATTCGGACCGGCCATAGACACATGCACAGGGAAAGCGTCCTAGGCCTACCGTGCTGGAGGCTGCGGAGATACTTTATGCGGGCTTCAACGGGCGGAGCTAAGGCCCTTCAAGTGCTTCGTACTTTCGGGTATTTGTGTGGAACTCGCAGCCTTGCAGCTTGATGCAATTCTGAAGCAGATCGCTCTCTGTTTGCGGCACGGCACCAACTTTTCCGCTCCTTCCCGGCAGGCTGCAGGGTCCCGCGAAAATCTTAGTCGGCATCAGACTTCTTGCGGAACTCTTCCGGGATGTGCTTCTTGCTCTTCAGGCTGCCTAAGCAGATTGCGACTATGCCGACAGCATGCCCTGGGCCCCTTAGCCGCGAGAAGTACCTCCGTTTACAGTTAACGACCCCGCATGAAGGAAACTCATCGAGCCCCTGCAACTGCCTTCCTACATGCCAAGCCATGGCCGCGCCTGCCAGACCCAGCTCAAAGCGAGAAGGGCCTTCCTTGATGAGGAACTTCGTCTGATCAGAGGCAGACAGTGAAACGGTGCTTCCGGGGTCTGGTCCCCAGGAGCCTTGAAGGGCAGGTACTTCATCATGTAGTGGAAGGCTCGGCGCGCAGTGTCCTGGCAGAAGTACGAGCCGTGGCATTGGGGCAAAGTCCGCATGCACTGCAACGGACCGAAACCGTTCCAGACAAAAGATCACGAGCGGCACGGGCACTCATAGCACGGAGCGAACTATGCTTTGCTTGAAAATTGCTGTAGCAGATTGCCTTCAACCAAGGAACAGATGCGTCCGTCACATCACGCGACGCATCACGGAGAGATCACAGCAGAGGCGCCAGAAGGTGGATTTCTGCTAGCTGGCAGCCGGGCCTCAGTGCAACCATCCACCTCGAAAAGGATGTATCCAGGCCGGACCGCCTGAACCCAGTACCTGAAACATGGCGATGGCCGTCGCTTGCAATATCAATGATCGAAAGCTTGCAATGCGAAGGCCAGGCTGAAAGCTCTACATCTGCCAAGCTCGAGGCTGGATGGTGCCCTTTCCGCCGCCCATTCGTGTTTCTTTTCCACGCCATGTAATGGCCTCGAAAGAAGAAAATTAAGGAAACCTTTCCATCCTTGCTTCCTAAGCTGCGAGGCCCTCTTTGCTTTCTCAGAGCCAGACCGAATGCGGGAAGCATCGCAGCCACACTTTTCCGCCGTCACGTCGCAGAGTTCGCACCTTGAGCACGCTGTTTGATATGCTTGTGACGTATTACGATACATGCTTATAGGTCGTCGTCGGCTCTTACCGAACTGATAACATCCCGACGAGGAATGGATGCACAGCTTCAAGAAAAAAGGAAGCGAAAGCATTATTGAACATTGCAAGTGGCGACAATCCGGAAATCAACAACCTTCTTGGAAGCCGTACTCGACAGTGAGAAGAAATGGCCAGTTGCAACAACAAGCATACCCAAAGCTCGCAAGTGTCAATGTGTTGCATCTTCCTAGCTGAACTGCCGAAACTCTCTACGATGAAGCCGCTGCACGGAATATAGACCGTTGATGGCGACATTACCTCCAGCGAAAATAGTGCATAATCGTCCATCGGTCACGGATCGTGGCCTACAAGCTGTGGACATGCCGTCACGGATTTCTCCGTAGGAACCGGAATAAATACCTTCGTAGGCATACCTCATAGGCTGGTCCCTGACGAGGGATCCTTCTAGCAAACCCACATACTGCCATCAAGTCGACGTGTGCTCCCGGCAACAACCGGCCAGTAGCTCCACAATCGACCGAAGAGCGAAACAGTGCGAAGTTCTGAAACTCATTTCTTCATGGCAGACCTTGAAATTCTTTAGCATTTTACATGGCCAGTGTGGTCTTTGTTGTGCCGACTGTGTTTTTGCGAAACGATCAAGGATGCAGACATCTCGACTTGAAGCTGTCTTGTCGACGGCAGTGGTTTGGCTGTTCAGTTACAGGAGAAACTCGCTACCTAGCAGTGGCTTGATGCTGCGTTCGTACTGAGTGTGCCACCATCATACGACGGCAGGCCTCGATGTTCGGTGCATTGATCCATGCCTGCAGGCTTCACCCGCACCGACGGCCATCGAGCGCGAGCACTGCCTCCTCAAGGATCTGCAAGGCATACTTGCCGAAGTAGGGCTTGTTGCCCCTGGAACCCGACGGAAGACTCTGCTGTGCTCTGCCACGTCACGGCTCCAGCAAGAACTAAAAGCTGGCCGCGGTCCGCACCTCCAGGCCTCGCCCTTGTACTTCCACCTTCCCGACAGCTCAAAACCAAAACGGCTTCGCATTCGCTATGTGCCAAGCTCCGGCCTGTTTGTGTCCCAAGGCTTGACTGGAGGCTTGTGAGGCTTTCGCCACTTGATGTTCTGCAGTCGGCACATTATGCCATCCATCTTGTAGCAGAAGCTAGACTCACAAGATCTTGCAAAGAAAGATGCTCTTTCTTGCCGCCGTCCTTGGGCATCAGCATCCGGCGCTTCGTCTTTGCTTCCCTTGGCTCATTCTCGGAACCTGACGGCAGAAAGATGCAACAATTGGGTCTCTTTACTTGGTCATGATCGGAACCGGAACTGGTGTGTACACTAACTCAGCTCAAGTGGGTTCAATTCTGGACCTATACATCGTGCAACTCGTGTGTGGGCCAGTGCTTGAGCGCCTGCAGGGGCTGCCGAGACGGCACCCGCAGAAGCGCCCGCGAAGGCAGTGGCAGCGGGTGGAATTGCAGCGCCCATGGCCTACCCAAGCAAGCGCTGGACCGGCATGAGTGTACGGCCCACAGCTATCAGCATAAGCATCGGGAAAGCTCTGCGTGCCTTCGAAACTATAGGAGAAGTGGTAGCACCTGGCTCTGACAGTTCTTGCGAGTGCAGCATGTGACGGGCGAAGCAAGGCAGAAGAAGAAACAACGCACGCGAGGAGAGAACCGAAACCAAACCGACAGGTGTTCGAGTAACAGAGTGACTTCTCAAACAGGCAGCAGCACGGGAGCGTACGCCTGGCAGCTTTGGTTGCTTTCTTCACAACCAGTCTCACCGACATGAAAGGTAAGCATGTGTCTATGACAAACCCACTTGTGCGGCTTACCCAGAGCAGCCGTCATACCGGCAGCGCAGACCTGAGAAACAAGTGGCCAAGAAGATGACACAGATGACACACGAAGCACGGAAGCCCTGCCCAAACTGTTGAAACTCGAGCTTGCGTGGTTTGAGCTGTAGGTACCTGGCCAGAGCCGCACTTGTCAGGGCGGCACCTGCGGGCCTCGTAGATTCCGTCCTCCGAAAACAGAAAGTCGTGAGCTAATTGCCCCTAACACCCCCGCTACGCTGCCGCCTCGGCGTCCCAGCGGCGGCCCTCCGAGGAGCGACAGAGCCCTGGGAGGAAACCTGAGAGAGCTGCGAGTGAAAGGTTTCCGTGGTCACTTTTCTCAAAGAGCCGGGTGTGTTTGTGGAGCCTTTCACTCTCACCGGCGTCTCGCAAGGGGCAAAGTGCATCCAGCACGGTCAGATTTTGTCGCGCGCGCGTGTACTCCTGTCAGAGAGTTGAGGCCTATACATGTGTTTGCACAGCATATCAGCTGCATGCACTTAATTCCCTCTGTCGTTAAACAACAAAGACTCGTTGAAGGCTCATGCTGGTAGAATGTGTTTCGAAAGCTTCAATGCCATCCGCGAGTCTCTCCTTCTACCACGACTCGTTGATTTCTGGGAGATTGAGGGCCCACCATGCAGCACGCGTTTCGCAGGGCTGCCACTGCATTCGAGACGCAACCAAAGTGAAAAACGCGACCTGGCAAGCAGCTGCGATCCCAGGTCACGGCACGAACGCTTAAAGCTTACTTTCGAGCTCTACCCACCACAGCGCTTCCTGGAATCCTCAAAACTGCAGTTTGCATGAGGCATCGTTACCTTGTGGCTTCATGCAGTCTGTACAGAATTAAAAGTTGCGGCAAACGCCCTGACATCTGAATATATACTCTGATCCGAAGAAATATGCCACGTCTGCACTTGGAAAAAACTATTCTGTTCTCGGACGTTTCCGTCGCCAGTCGCATCTCCACAGCATCAAACGACTCGATGCGACTCGAGGTCCTGATCGTCTAGCCAACCAGACCTTTCCAAGTCACGAGATAAAGTTGCGAGGGAACAACACCCTTCAAGACTGTCTCTTCATGAATATGATCATACGACAAGGTCGAGTCTACTGCAAATATCTCAGCCAGTTGCTGCTCCCTTGCTTGTAAGAATTGTTCGTGCGCGTCTCAGTTGCAGAGAGATGAGAGGCCCTCAACAACCGGAACTAAGCGCAATCCTATGCAGGGCCTTCCTCTGGAGGAAGCCATCTCTGCCGGCAAGCGGTCAGAATCTCAGGTCACGAAGAACGTACGATGGTGTGTGGCTGCGGGGCCCAGATTTGTAAAACCACTTCGTGCCCTGGTCCGGAACGTCCGCTCAGCTTCTCCCTGAGAGGAGCAGAGCAGAGAACATCTAAAGAAACGGCTTGGCCGAAGCGAGGAAGGCTGACCTTCAGCCATCCCCACCTCTGAAAGCTGCCAATAAGGCGGCCTTCGAAGGGGGTTCTCAAAAGGAGCCGTACTCGGAGCAAAGTAAAGAGAACAACAGATCTTCGATCAAACAATATATGAAACCAGAACCCGCGAGCATCCCGCCCCAGCGGCTTCCAACATACTAGCTGGAGAAGTTTGAGACCTTTCTGGGAAGCAAACCTCCAGGTGATTCAAGGAAACAGAGTGGAACCAGCTCGCAGAAAGGCGGCGAACAGTCCTTCTTTGGATGGACAGCTCGGACCTTGTGTTCTGCGGCGTTAATCAACGGATTGCGTCCGGCCACATGCTACTGTCCGCACTCGGCTTGTTGTCACCTGCACAGGTAAGACATCGGCAACGCGGAAAGGATCTACAACGTTCCGGACATGAGGTTGCTTATGCAGTGAAGAGATTGAAGCCATGGTCCATGGCCTCACAGTGTCGGTGGAACCTTCGTTCGCAAGTGGGACAGGGCCTGGCCAAAGAAGCCCTCTGCCCGACAAGCAGCCGCTTCCAACTTGGTGCACCTCGCGCAGATCGCCGACATAGCCTTGCTCCTCCTTTGCGCTGCGAATTGCCAGGGCCTTCCGGGAGATCACACAGAGTTGAAGCCATGCTGTTGGAGTGCGGCAACGGTCAGCTGTGCTGGGCGTCACACAATCAGCTCCGATATGTTCATCCTCGCTGCAGGAGACGGCTTGACTCTGAAGTCTCCCTGCACGCCAAAGTGCACCATTTTCCGGCTTTCCGAGCATTGAAATCATCCCCTCGAGACGGTGTGATAAATGAAACTAAGACAAGATAAGGAACGAAAAACATGACTCTAAGCCCCAGAGTTAGCCGGAAGGCAAAGCCATGTTCATCATTTTGTGCCCGTGTCCTTCGAAGGATCTTGTCCAGATTCCGCACATACCTCGGCTGTAAGCCGCGTGGACAAGCCGGTTAGCCGCCGTCTGCAGCTCGGTCCGCAGCCTTTCTGCCAGATTTTCAGCATCCTCGGGCATGACAAAGCTCATGAGCGAACACTGCTGCGGTCTGTGGCGTGAGGTGCCTAAACTTGCCTCACAACCGTTTGTTGCAGAAGGCACTCAGCAATCTGAAAGGATCTCTGTGATCTCTCTATCTCTGCTTTCAGTGGTCCTCAGGAGACACCACCGGCGGATTCACGGCCAAGTATGCTAGCCGCCTTGGAGCTGTGACTGCACATGCTGCCTGGGCCCTTGCATGCACTTGCAATGCTCTCTGACGCCAGTAGTGGTGGCCAAGTGGCTTCTGCCACAGGTCCAGGATGTCAGTCATGGCAGCTGTCATTCGCTTCCTAAACCGTGTTCATAAAGTGCACTCATCAACTCGAGTCTCAGGGGTCTAAGATTCTTCCATGGACAAACTCTGCCACTCCTGCAGGCAAACCTCCCAAGCCTCCCTAAAACTTCCCTAACGTTTCGCTGGAGGATTTTTTCCGAGTCGCTCTTCGGCCTTCTCCTGGCAAGAAGTGCCAGCCCAGACTGCGTTATTAGCACAAGCCTGTTGCAGCCTGCACGCGGTTCATCAGCATCTCCAGGAGCATGTTCTCAGGGAGAGACTGGAGGACCAGACGCTGTCGCTTGTCAAGTTTTGGGGCCTGAACAGATGCAAAAGCGAAAAGCCTTAATAAACACAGAGGGACGATTCTGTTCAGCTTTGCAAACTTTGTCCGCTGCCTTCTCCGTGTGCTGTGCATGGCAATAGCCACAGTCCTTCCCATTCGTACAACAACCTTTCGCCTTGGCAGTGGCAAAACAATGCCAATCAGTTCCAATTCGAATGCACGGCTTGTTTCTCAAGCCTCACATCCAAACCCAAGCTCCTGGCGAAGTAGAAGCAAGGCCTCCTGCATGTCTGTTTCATCACGTGACAAATCTCTGAGCCGTTGCTCGGCCTGCAAAGCTCTGGATGGCCAATGCTTCCTGCAAGGGCACAATCCAACATGCCAATTCAAAAGGAACCATGGTGGCTTGCCTTCACTAGGCACACCAGGCGGCAGAGGAGCAGTCACCTGCAAACTGGCTTGAAAGGTCGAAACCGTGGCAACGAGCACGTCTGGCAATCGACATGCTCCGAATGTTCGGACTTGTCTGAACGGCGGTTTTTGAGCAGGCTGCAAGCTCAGACTTGCTCAGACTTCGGCTCGCTCATCGTTGAAAAATGGCAAGGTCCCAATGCTTCGCGATCCCCACCTGGCCCTCCAGTGGCATCAGTCCGACTGGGCCGAGATTCTGCATCTGTGTCATCTGCGCATATGCCTGCCGGACGCTCGCGGTGTCATGTGCTCAGGACAAAGCCGCAGAACATACGTGCTGTGTTCTCGGAAATGCTACCAAGTGCTTCAAAGGATGCCTGGCTCTCATTCCGCTCGGGGCTACTCGACCCGGATTGCGAAACGGGATAAACCTTTCCAGCCCAGAGCTTGCATCGCAATCAACTGCCCACAAGCACTCGAAAGCACAGCCTGCCAGTCGCTCCGCAAAGGTACCGCGTTGGGGTTCGGATGCGCCACGACGAAGGCCTAAAGCACGAGAAGACAAGGGCAGGACTCAAGAGACTGGGAATCGCTGCCTGGCCCTCGTACGGCATTGGCCGTGCTACCGCGTTGCCCTGCATGGGGAAAGCCTGCTGCGTACGCACCGATCTTGGCAACCAGAAGCAGCAGCTGCACCAAAAACACAGAATCCCCAAGCCCTTACATTCCCAAACCTGCTTGGCCTGGCAGTCCCTCATCGGCATCACTGGTGCTCCAGGTGCAGCAAAAGGATAAGCCTGCTGGAATGAAGAAACCCTCAGAATAGTGAAAGTGCACTCTACCAAGAAAAGTCTGCCCATCAAGACCAATGCTTTAATGAAGAGGCCTGCCCGTCCCGCTGCGCGTGTTGAGGTAGCCCGGCTCCTGGAGCCAACGGCATTGCCTGTCGACCAGGAGTTCGCGTGTCTTCCGGCCGGTACCAAGCTTGAGCTCGGACTGCGGCAGTGCCAAGATATGCCAAGATTCACGGTTTCTTTGCCGACGGGGTTCCAGAGGCGTAAGATTACAGCAGCGCAGGCTTAAGATTCTGGCAGCAATGCGCAGGGCACAGCAATCACCATTCAGAAAACGAGTCGAGATTAGTCGTGATTCGACACAGCACGGGCACATATGATCCAGGGCTGCAGTCAGTGCCCAGCTTCTCACCCCCCTTCCACTCCGTCGTACACTAGACTGTCAGTTCTGAACACCGAAATGCAAGCAGGATCCTTGCGACAGATTGCTGGTTTTCAGGGGCTTGACCGGGCGTGGGCAGGGGCGGGAACCACGCCCTGCAACATCAAAACACAGAACCTGAACGTCGCGCTGCACGGGCGTCCCCATCGGCAGTGGGATTGCCTGGCGGACCGGACCATCGAACGACAAGGAAAATCCATCCGCCCAGTGCTCTTTGGCCTGAACATGGATTGGCGAGCTCTGAGAGTTCGGGCTCGCCATGTCCTGCCAATGTCTCATGCAGAGCAACAACGACCCCCCGACAGCTCATGCTGAACGCACGTAGTATCCTGGTGCGCCTCACCGACTACGACGAAGGAAGTCAGACCCTGCGGCAGGTAGACCTGTTCAGGGCGACACAAGTATCTTGCCTTAATAAACACGGAAGGCACTCGCCTTGTGCGGCTGCCAGTTTGGAGACATAGCCTGGTTATCCTTGGGCAGGATTTCAGATTTCCGAAACCTGATACTGGAAAAACACTCGCCACAGCCTTTGCTCTCAAGATTGGGCCCAGCAGCCGTCTGAGCAAAGTTCTGGCCAATGGGCGTCAGCACTGCCTGAAGCAGCTGCTATCCCGACTCCAAAATACCCCCTCCTGGAGACCAGACCTGGCCATCCTTGCGGAACTGATTCGGACAGGCCTGTCAACCACTCAAGGCAACGATCCACTCGAGCGAGGCCGCGCAGCGGGGCCTGCGGACTGCCGTCTCCGTTCCAGAGCTGGGCCTTCGTGAAGGCAGGATACGAGAGTCCCAGTTCTTGCTTTTGAGTCCTTGCCCAGCCTGGGCAAACTGAATTCCGCCTCCACCGCAGGCTCTGAAGTCCTGAGCAACAAGCCCAAGGAAGCTCGGCAGCCGGGGCCAAATGCCGGACTCCACAAGGCACGGCCTGCTCACGCATGGGCAGCATCGTAGCTCCGTTGAGAGCTGCCCCGGGAAGAAGCGGCACAGCCTCGAGCTGAGGGAGTGAGAGGGAGGCCAGATGGCAGCGCATCTGCGCCTGGAACTTGTCTCCCAGATCTCGACCTCGCTGCAGGAAACCTCCGGTCTTGGCCTTGTCAGCACCACAGCACCCAGCAAGGCACGGACTTGGCACAACTTTTCTCGCCGAGTTTGCTCTTCACATGGCATACCGAGCCACACTTGACTGCAGGTGCTGGGTTCTTGACTCACATCTGGCACATAACCTATCCCGTCCAAGTCACTCGTTCCATCGGATCCGGCATCTGTATAGGCTGCGCCTGTAGGAAACCCAAGTGATGATACTCTACACAGCTAGTGTTTCCCCCGACTTCGCTGACTCAAAAGCTGCAAGACAATCAGCCCACAGTTTTGCCTCGAACTGGGTTGAACCCATGCGGTTCTGGTTCGTGTTATAGAAATGCCTTGTCCGAGCAACTCTGCGGAACAGATTCGAGCATTGCCTGAACTCTGCGGAGTCGGACTTCACTGCTCCTAGGCCCTAGTCCGGTAGCTGAAAGGGCGTAGAAGCAGTGTCTGCGCAGTATATACGAATGCGGCCATGCTGCACCCCCAAATCCATGTTGGCCACAGCCTGCTGAGTTCCAGCACTAATCCCACCGGCTGCCCTTACACTCTCAACACACAAGGTCGGGTCAGCTCGACATCGAGTGCAACTAGCGAAATCAGAACAGGCCTCAAACTGACCACAGTTGCTCGGGGGCAAAAAAACTTTGAGCCAGACATACACAAGGACAAACCACACTTGATTGCAGAAACGCTTCTGCTGTTCCAGCTTCGTGCTAGACTTGTCGGAAAGACGTAGCTGGCGGCCAATTCCCTGTGACAACAACAAAGCAACCCTTCGAGCGTTTCTCGCACCAGTTTTCCACGGGCGACCTCAGGATGATCCACATCTCGTGGGGGGCACCACGAGGCAGGGCAGTGCCTGCAAACTTTTGGATCCTGATGGCCAAGAAGATGCGCAACGAGCAGCAACGAAACAGCTGCAGCTCCATGAAAAGGTGAGACTCCAAAGTTTCACTAGAGGCTCCACACTGGCAAACGCCGTGCGGCGATGGCTTTCCATGTCACACTGTCACGCTTGACTTGTGTGGCACAGCCCTCCTTACGGCTTTGCCGCTGCCGAGTTTTGGTCCTCACAAATTGCACATTGCAGTTGCTCTGCTTGCATCAACTTGGGTCAACGATCAACTCTGAGTGTCCTCATCGACATGTCCAGCAAGGCTTGCGCAAGCATGGCTGCTTTAAACACTGACCAAAGCATGTGACGAAAGCAAGGTCGTCGCAAGCTTGAGAGGCTAACTTCCCGCGGTATGCAAAGAATACAAGATGCATAGGTTGTAGCAGCGTATGAGTCATTCAGTCAGCTACTCGGATGTGCTGGAGCAGATGTGGAGACAGCGCGGCACGGCCATAGCAGACAAACAGCGCCAATATATCGCCATGACAAGCACTGACACGCACTGAGAAGGCTGCCTGTACGAAGGCTGGCTCCATAAGAAAACTACGAACCTGTCAACATCGGACTGCTTCACGCTTCTGAAGGATACTCGGATTTCATCTCCAGACTTCAAAGCTAGGACTTACCTCACCACGATCACAACGCCCCTCTAGCTGCTGAGTTCATGGCTGAGACGAATGCCAGGCATGCCGCCAGGGCTCCTCAAGCAATCTGAAAGCAGGGCCTGCATGCAAGGGCACTATGTGAAGGCTGCAAAAGATCCTGGAAGGAGTTGACGCCGCCGCATGTGGGTGCACTGAGAGCCTTAGAGGTTCATCATTGCGAGAGCTGGGCTGTCGGAGCTGGTGGTCCGAGAGCGCAACCCCAGTGAAGGCGCTCCGCGGCGGGGCGGGAGGCGGAAATCTATCCTTTTGGCCCTCCGCTGGAGCTGCAAACAGTGTAGAGGCTGGTTTCACTCTCCGTGCATCCTGTAGACCTCCAAAGCCGCCAAACGAGGCTCGGTTCAATGCAGCATGGGGTTGGACACAAAAAGATTCTACTTCAGGCAACCACTTCCGACTCAAGTCAGGGCAAGGCGGCAAGGCAAGCCCTCGTTTTGGACCATACATCAGAGGGTATGAGCCGGCACCCTCGGCACGCTAAATCGATTCAGCATCTTGCTGCACCTCCACTGTCCTCCGACATGTGGGGTGAGGATATTTACAACACAGCTCAAACAGACTTGCAGGGATCTGATCCATCTCTCCGCACTGCTGCCAGCCGCTACGGCGAGGACTGGATAAATGCGTCCATTTCCTCTCAGAGTCCAAACGCAGGACGGTCAGCGCTGACACATACACACACACACGCACCCAACCGATGCCTGTCTAGAGACTTGTTTACTATTGTTGCATGTGTCTGGTGTGCTTCCTTCCGAACACCACTCCTGCAGAATCTCGGCCTTTTTCTCGTGAAGAAGCCAGTGGGAAGCGTCCTAGAGAATGTCAGCAAAGTGTTCCGGCTATGTTTCGCCTGTTCTGGAAGACTCAAGTTCCCAACATTATGACAGCCGGGATTCGTATACCACTGTTCTCTTGGATGGGTGCGCAGTGTACCTGGAGTCTGCGGACCATCCAACCATTCCCGGAGACACATAGATGTCATCACTCCCGAACAGCTGCAAGGTTGGAACAATACCTGGGTTCTGGCAAGATTGGGTGACAGTTTGGAATCTGCAGAAACAGAATACTGGTTGGATACTAACAACCCCTTTGTGCTTCCAAGCAACTTGGGGTTTGTCCATCGGTCCACAAACTATTTATGGTGCCAGGTCCGAGCACTGACGGTGGCAACACGCTCTTCAGCAGCCACTCGTTTCCCATCCAATACCAAGTGCTCAGAGGACAATGAGTGTCTGACTGATAGGTGCGTGCATACACCTCCTTGAGTCTCTTGATCATCTCCTTGCTGTAGGTCTTGGGCCTGCTACTGCCTCAGTGGCACAAAGGATACGGGCCGCTCTTGGAGGATGCACCACATCACTGTGCTATGCTAAGTCTGCCAAGTAGGAAAGTTCCAAACCCTTCGCCAGGCTGCCAAAAGCGAACGAAATGAACCAGGCGAAATCGTCCTTGGCGGCCTTCCACCGCGCAAGTGGGCCAGTCAGCCCCCAGAAGAGGAAATACCAGACATGCGTGACAGAGAATGGCAGCCGGACAAGGTTGTATGAACCTCGGTGTCACGTCTTGTGACAAAGCTCCGAGTTTCCGCTCAAATGTCGGGCTCCTCTGCTCCGTAGTTCCTTTACCGTTTGTCCTCTGTTTCATAATCTCTTTTGTGTCATTTCGTAACCATGCCTATCGGGTCCAGTTGCCGCTACCAACTGACGCTCTCATAAAAAAGCTGAAACACTTCCTGATTGCTTTCGCATGCAGAACCACCACTATATGTATACACTCTTGTTGAGTAACCAACACTTCTGTTGTTGTTTGAGCTGATGCGGACACTCCGTGCTGACCCGTCCTGATCATCACAACAAGCACATACCAGTCTAGAGGTCGAACCGTAAAACCTTCCGTCGAATTACTCATCCTCGCCAGACTGCAAGACTTTGGCATGCTGTAGACTACGAACGATTGGCTCCCATAACCTGGTTGTCCCACCACCAAGCCATCCATTCGCCTAGAGAACCAGGCAAGACACGATATAGCTCCGGGTGGGGAACGGCCATGACCACCAATGCCTGCGTCCTGGCTGGAAAGCGCAAAGCAAACACCCAAGAGATCACGGCGCCCCAGTCGTGTCCGACCACAATAGCCTGGAGACAGGGACTGTTGAACTAAATGGCAGGAGACTCGAAAGTGCTTCACAGAACATAAGGGAAAACGAAAACAGCTATGGCCTTGTCATGACCTGTAGATGTCACCAATGACAACAGGTCATCAGACAAGAGGTCAAAGGAAAGCGTGCCACTTTCAGCCATGCTGTTGTTCACATTGCGCATGTCCGGTGCGAGCACATGGTACCCAGCTGCTGCATAGTGAAGAATATACTCTTTCCAAGCTGCCGCGGTTTCGGGGAAACCGTGCACAAACAGCACAACACCCTTGCTTTCAGCTGGATTTGGTCCGGCAACGATCGTCTTCAGGGTGACGCCTTGCGACCCAGCTTTGTCCAAGTACCGCAAGGAATCTGGCCAAGAAAAAGGCTCGTCGGTGAAGTGTTGCTCCTGCCAGCCTTGTCAGGAAGGTCCATATCAATCTGGAATGCGCATGATCACACAAATCAAACCGTTTAGTTGCGGCTGAACGGCTCGTCGAAGGTGACCATGCTAACCAAACAGAGACGGCAGCAACGAAAGCGGACACCAATGTCAGTCTGGAGAACATGTAGCCGACAACTATTTTCTTCTAAGAACCTGGAGCCCACGCTTGGTTGCAGCATGAAACAGAACATCTCGCTACTAAGTCGTTTGCGCCGAGTAAAATATCGGCAGAACCTCAAAAGAATATTTACCAAGAGACCACTTAATTCCAGCAAAATTTGGAATCCCTACCAATTGAGAATATTGATGGAAAATATTTCTCAAGGAATTCTATATTCTATCTTTATTGCCTGATCTCATGTGACCGAATATATATTGGAGGAATGACATTATGTGATGGATGCATAAAGAAATTCCTCATTTAAATATCGCTCCAAAAATATTATCACCTCTATACTTCAGGTGAGCTCAGAACGAACTTCAACCTCGACATGCCTGCCGCCGCCTCTTTTTGGATGCCTTGGCGAAGGAAGGCCATTGCTACCTTCCATAGCTAAGCGGTAAAATGTCCCAAAACCGCGCATCCTGTGGAGCGGACTGTGGTTGCGTGTACAAAACGGATCTCAGGCAGCCCGAATGCTCATTTTCGCATGGAACCTGCCAATTGCAAGCGGAGAGGACTTGCACCGCAGCGCGCATGAGAGATTCCTCATCCAAGGGCGCTCTTAACTCCAACATGAACGGAAGGCAATCAAATGCCTCTTAACACCGGGAGTGGCACACACAACCGTCCCATGTTCTTACTTGGACGTTGTAGCGGCGTTGCGTGTCGATGCGCTGGTTTGCCAGTTCTATCAAGCGTTCTTTGGCATCAGAATGTTTCGCTCTGAGACTTTTGGATAAACGCAAACTTTTAGACTGAGTCCCTTCTTGCGAAAGAGATTGACTGCTGCATTTTGTCTCCAACTGCCTTCCAACAAGGACCTCCCTGCTTCTCTTAGGTCGCGGAACTTTACCATCGTCCAACTGGTTTCATGTCGTGCTTGTGGTGGGCCATGGCTTCAACAAAAAGCGTGAGCATGACCATCTCTGGAAAGGTGTGGGGTCCCCGACCAGGCTGGCTGGAATCTGGTACGTTGCCCTTTCAGGCTGGGCAACTTCTCTTTACTCTCACATGACTCTGGTTGGCCGCAGAAGGGACGAGACAGCTTCCGTTTCGAACACATATGGCCGTAACTGGCACAGCGTTTCCGTCGTCTTCGCTCAGAGTTTCTTAAGCAGACACTGGAAGAGCATGGTTCTGCACATGGAGTTTCACAGGTCTTGCAAGCCAGTAATCAATTCTTCCTGGTGCTTCCTCTCTGCACACCTGCAGATCCGAAGGCTGGCAGACTCGATGCGAGCCCGCATCTCAATGCAATCTTTTCGTTTCTCGGCCAGCCTGAACCTCATCCTGGAATCCAAGAACATTAAACTAGCAGCTGTTGCCCAAAGGCTGTTTTTGGAAATCTTACAATTTCGTAGAACCAGAGTGTTCCTGGCCACTATTTCCAAACGGGTTTTGCATTCTAGCGCTTAAGTTTGTTCAACGTGGTTTTCTGCTCCCACGACGTCTAGGACGTGAGCGATGTCTTGAATGTGGACAGTGTCCACTACTAATGGAGTTTAGAACTCCTTCAATGCATTGAATTTCCGGCTGAATGTGATGAAGACGTCTCCACCTGCAAAATGCGTGAAGAAAGCATCAATGTGTTGGATTTTGCAAGGTTGCATGAATCAAGAACAATTTTGATAGTTCTGAACTTGTAAGTTGGAAACAATCTTCGCCAGCGACACAAAGGTATTTGACTGTGGTCAAACTCAAGCAAAACAGGAACTGGTAACGCTACGACCAGCAAGAACATGGCACGTTTGTAAGTGCAGCTTCCGGTGTTAGAGGCATTTACTTGCACCCTCTCTTCCGTTCATGTTGGAGTTGAAAGCGCCTTTTCTGGCTGAACGCTTTAGACGCCACCTTGGCTGTGAGCAAGTAATTAGTTTGAGTGGCCGACTTTCAAGAATTATTTTGCATAGAAGGTTCACAGATCTTGTCTCTGTTTTCTTCGCACAAATGCAAGTCGGGACCTACTGTTCAACGGCTTGCGGAAATGCTCGCCAAAACGATCTGGGCGAATTCACATGAAGGTTTGGGGGTTGGGGTTTAGGTTGGAGTTTCAGGGCTGGGGGTTTGTTGTTTAGGGTCTTGGGGCTGAGAGTTTAGGATTCGGGGTTTTGGTTTGGTGTTTCGGGGTTTACGCATGAGGACCTCACTTGTTGACGCATCCAATTTCGCCGTGATTCTACTTATGACATTGAGTTCACTCCAGTATGGGCCCCAGACCTTCGGGCGAAGGGGGGCTTCAAGGGGGCTTCAAGGGGGCTTGAAGGGTCTTGAAGGGGGGAGGCTTGAAGGGGGGGGCTTGAAGAG